TAATAAAAATTAAACTTACGTTGACTATAACGATAAGCTTGTATCAGAAGAGGCAACTTTACTAGACTTCCTAGGCCCAAAGCAATATTAGAGGTACTTTACAAGAATCCACCGTACACTAACTTGAATGTTCATAATGACAACTTTGAATCACCGCCTGCTTGCCTTGAAAAGCTTGATCAAAGGATGAAAAAGCATACTTTTAACTATAAGTACTACTCTCTTAATGCAAAAAGTTAGTATTTGAGAGGTTAAAGACTCTACAAAAGATGGTCTGTTTATCAAAATGATAATTTCTAATTAAAAATTCGCCTCTGACTAGATATTAAATTTGGTTGATTAATATAGCAGGCTTATTGTGATAATTCTAGTGCAATATTTGAGTGCTGCTGGGTGGAACAAGACTTCGAGTTTCAATTTATCTCTGGTAACATATGAACGCCGTCAAGGGAAAACCTGTCATTGGGCTTTCAATTATATTTTATATCCAGTTTGTTCTCTTAGTGCTGTCTAGGAAAAATCTATCATCAGGCTTTCAATAATATTTTTGACAAGTCATTACAAATATAATCGAGATTCCGATGATAAATTTTCTCTCAAAGAACAAACTGGACACAAAATATAATTGAAAGCCTGATAACAGGTTTCCTTTGACAGCACTCTTACATAATAGATTTTTCATAAGCTGAATCTGATAAATAATAAATGATAAACTTGAAAGTCCGAAGTCTTATTTTACCTTGGCAAATCTCATTTATTTATTTGTGCTAGTTTAGTATACAGGTGAGTATAAAGATCGTTAACTCATGAACATTACAATTATATTATGTCTGATTAATATTATTCTATTTGTAGACAAATATAAAGAATATGAGGTGTTAATTTAGGAAGCTGAAAAATATTAGGTAATTGTAGTCCCCCCTCAAGAAATATTCATTCGACAATGCAATTTAACATGATATACTAATTTGACTTATTATCTAATGAGTATTCCTGGGGAGTTTTAATTATCTAATATTTGTCAGCTCCCTTATTTATTTAGTTCAATTTTTATGACTCATATGTTTTTAGTTATTAAATATAATACTAATTCGTTTCAATGCAGTAATTTAGACTTAATTACTTATGAAAATTTAAGTTTTAATTTATAATTTAAATTCAAATAAAGCGTTCTTAAGTATCTTTTCAGATGGAATTTCTAGTGACCAAAGATTGATTGATCGTATGAATGATAGTATTATTGAGATTTTACAAGTATTGCTCTTATTGTAATTTCTAATTATTGTAATGATGCTTAACTATAT